TTCACATGCAAGTTTTAATAGCTAACTGACCATTAACCCTTTTCCAGAGCAAGATATCACTGCTTGATTTCATGAAGTTGGGCCTACTATGCTATGATGAAAATATATCAAATTCTGTTTAGAAATTTAAACATCAATATGCAAATAGTAATTTGCTTTTAAAAATATGATCGGTGAAAAGCGTTTTCTATTTTTAAAAAAAATAAATGGAAATTTTAACGGACATATTTGCATTGTTTCTATATTAAATCAGTTTGAAACTGTAAATGAACCTGTAATGGCAGACATCGATGCATATATGATATTCCACTTCATTAAATTGAAAATACAAAAAATATATACAGCAATAATGCAAATAATATTTAACCAATACATGTCATTATTACCAGTAGGTAGACAAATAATACAATCATAAATATGAAGTCTTATTAATGAATTTTTGTAACGAAGCAAGAAAAAGAATAGTTATGAAAAAAGCCCTCCTAAAAATAGATGCATGGTACAATACGAATTTTTGGATTTTCAGTTTGGGGAAAAAAGGGTCCAGTTTAGTTATATATCGACTTTAGTGCTTCAGTGTGTTGTCTATGAATAGTTACCTTATTGTTTTATTGGGAACAATTCAATCCGGATGAACAGTATAGTTTGATGTCACTTGTGCATTAATTCCTATGTACATGTATAAGGGGCTGTTTCAAAGAATGCTAGAAATCTTTTGACTGCAATTTTACACAAAACTTGTAGGAAATAAAATAATTAAGTGGTAGTTTATTAAGCATTTTTACCAACTTGCAGTTACAAGACTATAATCTTGTTACTTCTATTAGTGAAAATTAATTACAGTGTATAGACAAAACACACTGCATTTATTTCAATTCAAACACACATATACTACAAGTATGAATAGAATGGGTATGAATATAATTTTTTTATATGTGTACAAAATATGTTGATACTCACAGATAACACATTTTTCAAATTGAAAATAAGGCATTGCTTAAAACTTTTAAAAGCATACTGAAAAATAGAGCACATCATTAAAATAAGATATTGCAGCTCTCTCTCTCTCTCTCTCTCTCTCTCTCTCTCTCTCTCTCTCTCTCTCTCTCTCTCTCTCTCTCTCTCTCTCTATATATATATATATATATATATATATATATATATATATATATACTGTGTGTTAATTATTTTGGTCTCACTTCTCCCTGTTTAACTCCTTCTCCCTGTTTAACTTCCACTTCTCCCTGTTCTGACCAAAAGGAGAAGTCACTTTTCCCTAAATTTTAAGTCTAGCTTGACCCGTGTGTGTGTGTGTGTATATATTAAGTAGAAAGTTATTTTAGCCTAAAAGACTCTAAAAGATTATAATAGAAGCTACATTGTAACAAATTTTAACTGAGTAACTAGAATACATTATTGTAATTGCAAGTTAGTAAAAATACTTAATCACCTACCCTAAATCAGTTTTTTAAAATATTTTAAAAATATTTTTGTAATACTTTCTAAAAGTTCACAATGATGGCACTTTCAAAGATTTCTAAATACATTTGAAACAACCCCTGTACCATATGTGTGAGAGCAAATGCACACATTTTTAGATCACACTATTTTTGTCCTCATTTCTTTGTTGCGGATAAACATTACCATAAATATTTATATATAGCACAGTAAAATGCATACAATTATAGACATGGCTCCATTATAGATGGTATATTGCCTAAACACTTCTTTCCAACTGAATCTACACAGACATGAATGCATCTATTTTTAGAAGTTGGGGTTTTTGTAATGCAATCACTCACTTTATATCAATTGATAGGATTGCAAATTTATGGTTATTTGTCTCCATACACCACTTCCACAATAAGTTACGCCCTGATAACTTGCAAACCTGCTTATAATGCGGAGTCATACTTGGATCCCAATTTAGACAGGAAAATACAAAAATCTGAACCCTACTTCTTGAACTTGAAGAAAATTGTGATCAAAATTGATAACAAAATCTTTGATATATTGCTTGTTTTATCTTTATATTTATTTTAGATAGGACCTGGAAATTTTAAACTGCACTATGAAATATCAACTTTAAAAAGAAGTCATAAAAGTGACTTAATTTTCTTTCCAAACAACATTCTTAATATACTGTAATTTACGATATTCAAGGAAATTTTGATAAGTGAAAATGTCACGCCAAGTGGAGGATGTTACTTTAATAAATAAATACCAATTAAATAATTTTTTATCAATAGAAATTCATGTTCTAGTTACATCTTGTAGTTCCGTTTAAGTTGTATCATCATGAATGTAATGTGTCCTCTTGCAATTAAAATGTGGGCCCCGAGTGGTCTAAAGCGCTGTTCATTACGGATCACTGCCATCTCACCTCTGTCTGCGTGGGTTCCAGTCTAGGATTCGGCAAATGTGGATATGTGAGAAAGCTTGCCAGTAGCTTCTCGTGAGTCGGTGGTTCTTTCCAGTGATTTCCCGGTTTCTTCCTCCACCATTAATACTGGCTGCCATGAATAGTCTATCGTGTGCTGAAAAATGGCGTTAAGCCCAAAAACAACAACAATTAAATGTAAAATGTGTCAATATACTGTAGCAGCTATGTCCACAAGTATTTCTCTGAGAAACTAATTAAGTGCCCACCATGTTTTCATATCAGTTTAGTGAATTGTTGTATTGTTACACTAAATAAAAAGCAGGCCTCTTTTTCTATTATCATTTTAATTACATCTTTTGAATCAAATAAAGGAGGGTGAATAAACAAAACAGTTAAAAGGCATACAAATCCTACATACTTAAGAACCAGCAACCATGGTCGCATGTCAGGTAACTCATTTCAGTTGATCAGTCAAACACTTTTATAAATATTATTGTGTATGTTACTAATTAAACTACCTTAAATTAACCTACTCAGTTATGACTGTGATTTAAGATAGCAAGGCATCCAAGTGAAATGAGTAATTCATAAAATAAAGAGCTTTGTTTCACAGAAATGGACCATTGTGGGGAAAACAAGTTTCAGAGAATTCCTGAATTTGCACATAGAGATATCCTCAAGGCTGATAAGAAGTTTCACTGTTTTACAAATTGAATAATTCAAGTTTTGGCATAGACAATTGTCTCATGAAATGTCTGTTTTTTTATAAAAAGGAATCTTGTTTAGTAGTGTATCAACATTTAGTCTGGTTCCCAGCTTGTTTCAGAAAATACTGTAGACACTCTATAGTGTATCAACATTTAGTCTGGTTTCCAGCTTGTTTCAGAAAATACTGTAGACACTCTACTCTGGGAATGAGACTAATCAGCAAAAACAAAAGGGCATGACTTAATACACAAATATTTAAGTGATGGTTGCTGAAACCTTTTGCAATCATGTTATCAATCCTTCAGATGTTGGACATTTTGAAAATAAATGTAATTATACAGAATAACAGACAACTTCATCAGAAAACATGATTTATTGACAATTATTCGCAACGTGATTATAAAATGATTATTCCATCATTAAACAGCTTAGTCTCTTCCCCCAATCAAACTGCACTGGTCTCTGGATGTCTAGCAGATCTTTTGAGTTTCCTCTGTAGCTTTTGCCCTCGTTTATAGTGCTGTCTATATTTGTGGACCCCAATGTGCACGAGTTATCCAGGAGAAGTGTACTTGTAGTAATTTTAGGTATATAGCATTAGCTTCGCTGCTTTTTTCTTTATTACAAGTCAAGTAAGACGACAACTTTGACTTGACCTTAGAACACGTCTCACAAATTCCCAAATATAGCATTGCCACATGTTTATGATCTTTCATTACTGCATTTTAAAGTTAAATCTTAAATAACATAATACCTTGGTTGTGCTTTCTATGAATTGTATATTTTTCTGGATATATTTACCCGACGATGTACATGTATACAATTTATTATATTCATACCCATTCTATTCATCATATTTGTGGTGTATGTGTTTGGACTGAGATATAGGCAAATTGGAGATGTGACTTAAAAGGCACAGCAGAAGCTATACATTGTAATTATTTTAACTGAAATCAGTAACAAAATTAGTCTTGTAATTTCAAGTTGGTAAAAATGCTTAATAAACTACCACTTAATTATTTTATTTTATTTTGTACAAGTTTTGTGTAAAATTGCAGTCAAAAAAGATTTGTAGCATTTTTTGAAACAACCCCTAATTCATGTACATAGGATTAAATGCACTAGCGACTTCAAAACATACTCTTCAAAACATACTCTTCGTCCTGATTTCCTTTTCCCTAATAAAATACTAACTATTCATAGATAACACACAGAAGCACTAAAGTTATTAGATAACTAAACTGGACTCTTTCTTTCCCTAAGAACAAACATTCAAGCTAGTGCATCTATTTTTAGAAAGGGTATTTCTAAATATAATTTTCACTTTCTTGCTTTGTTACAATTTCATTAATAGGACAACATATTTATGGTTGAATTATTTGTCTACCTACTGATATTAACAATATAAATCGGTTAAATAGTATTTATTTCATAACTATATATCTCTTCTGTAATTTTGCAAAAATTAATTACAGTAGGTCAGAAAACAACCTTGACCTTGCAGCATTGTTTCGAATTCCACAAGAGATTGTCACATGTCACAAGAAAATACACAAATATGGCCTTAAAATCTCCATTTATAAAAACAAGAAATGCAATAGAAAACACTCTTCACTGATCACATTTTTTAAAAGCAAATTACTATTTATAGTTGCATTTCACCGATGGGGCATCTCAAAAGCCATAATATGCAGCCATTTTACGTCCGAAAAATCAAGGGCGAAGTCATTTTTGCATTCATAACAGAAGAAGGAGAAGTTTACATTTCTCAGTCGACTTTTTCGCCCACTTAGCCTGGTAGCATTACCCCTGTTGTTTGTCAGCTTAATTGATATCAAAACTTGGCCTAGCTACTGATGGCTTGATGAATACATTGCACTACCACAAATACTAGAACTAACCTGGGACCGTTCCAGTGGCTTAGTGGTTAGAGCATCCACCTCAGATGCGGGAGGTTGCAGGTTTAAACCCAAACTGAGTTTTACAAAAGACTTGAAAACATGGTACTAACAGCTGCCTCACTTGGTGCTTAGCATTCAGAGGTTAGTGTTAGGACTTGTCGGCCTGGTGACAGTATAATGTGATTGGGTGGAACATCATGCCATGTCTGTGGCACGATGCCTCAGTTTTAGACAACACTATAAACTGTCACACTGCAGACATGGTAATGATATGACTGAAATTTTTTTAAAGCTATGCTAAAAGTCTAAATATCACACACACACACACACACACACACACATACACACACATGCAGAACTAACCTGGCTAAGGCAAAGGGGACATCTCAGATGGTATGGTTAGTCACTGTACCTCTAAAAGAAACTCAAGGCAAAGTTATTTCGCTGTCCTTGGTTGCCCACTTAGCCTGGATATCATGACCCCTGATTTGGACAATATTAGTGCCAGCCTACCCTGAGAAAGAAGAATAACTGAGGCATGAAAGAAAAATTATTAAAACCTTGATTGTTCACATAATTTCAATGTAAGATATAATAATGCAACTAAGAAGGTATTTAATAAAATTAAGTATTTATTGGCATTAAACACTTTCAGGCTTATTCAGGTTCTTAAAATTCATGAGGTAAAGCTATTGTTTATAGTAACTTGTTTCCCCTAAGTGAATAAAAGAAGCCAAAAGCTGTATAAAGAAAAACGCACTATTTTTGGTTTAATACAGGATGGATAATTCAAAACACTGAAGACTTTTTGAATATAGTAGGAGCATCAAAGAAGATTTGTTGTACTCAGCTAATCGAGTAATAATAAAGACATTATTAATATTATTATTATTATTATTATTATTATTATTATTATTATTATTATTATTATTATTATTATTATTATTATTATTATTATTATTATTATTATTACATGTATTTGATCTTTCCATGTCCCATCATCCAATACAAAGGGGGCCCCCCCAAGTGGCATCTAAAGCACTCACTGTTATGAATCATTGGCAGCTCACCTCTGTATGGGTTCGAGTCTGGGTCTCACCCAATGGGGTTTGTTAGAAAGCTTATCACTGGCTTCTTGTGGGTCGGTGGTTCTTTCCAGGGTTTTCCCAGGGTCTTCCTCCACCATTTATGCTGACCACCATGTAGAGCTCATCTGGATGCCGATTAATGGCATTAAACCCTGTAAGGACAACAACATCCAATACAAATAACATTGACAACTTTTCTGACTCCACATTTTAAAAGGGACAATATTATGTCATGTAAAACATACCTTTAGGGCAAAGGTAAAAAATAATTATAAATTTAAACTTGATATCTGTTGCTAATGTAGGAACCTTGCTGATGGCAACCCAAGCCCTTGGGATGGGGGTAGGGGGCTGCTGTTGGAGCAACTACAGCACTACACATGGAGATAGAGACATAAAGTAGAACAAGACAAGAACCCACCCGTGAGGTTTTATGGCTATTTTGTATGTATTTAGAAGGTGGCAGGGATATATCCATTAAAACTCAAATTGGTAAAATCAGATAAATGCAAACCTCATTCAGAATTATAATTTCAAAATTTTTTGTTTGTTTGTTTTAGGAAAAATACACAAGATATCAGAAATACACCACTCCCTCGATAACTCGCGCCCGGATAACTCGCGAACCCGCTTATAAAGCGGTGTCCGGCATGGCTCCCAATTTTTTTTCCCAAGGAAAATATATTTTAAAATGTGTTAAACATGAAAAAGTCATGATAAGAAATTGTAAATTGGCAAATTTAACCTTGATACATAGTTTGTTTTTATCATCGTATTTTCCGGGGTATAAGTCGCTATGTTTTTTGTTTTTTTTTCTCTTAAAAATGACGTGTACGACTTATATGCAGGAGCGACTTATAAGATAAATAATTGTTTTTTTAACGACTGTGACTGATGCGCAGTGATGCTGTGCTTTAGCGAAATGCATCTGCCGGTATACGGGCAAGCCAATTGCTGGAAACTTGCATATGGTACACGTAAGTATTAGACTATAAGATTATCAAATTAAATAGTCAAATAATATTTAGTTATATATGTGTTAAAATTTGTTGTTATTAATAAATAAAAAAATATTGAAATAATGATTGCCATTGTATTTCCTTTATTATTCGGCATGTACAGCTATTGCGTCATGTTCTTTTGATGTACTAAAATAAATACAGAATGCAGAACTGGGATTATTTTGTTATTTTAAACAAATTATGTCACTGTAAAGCGTTTCCGATACCTCTGTTAGCGCTTCATAATTTACTTTAATAGTAGTTTATAAAAACACAATCATTTTTTTCAGTTGGTTTGCAATGGCTGGTTATAAAAAAACAAAAAAAACCAAAAAAAACATAGCATGAATATTTCCTACGATGATAGCTCTAGTTTTAAACTCTGGATTAAGCCAAGACTGGCTTCATGGAGATAACTTCAAAGTACCGGTAATTAATAAAAAAAAAAAAAGATAACTGGAAGTTTGGTGAACAGTTTCAATTGTTAGGTGAATTCGAAATGTCTTCGTTAAGGTATTAAAATCACTGTGGCATATAAAGTGCCTTTGAAGTTTGATTGGGTTGTGGAAATGACCAATGTATAAATACATACCGTTCATACCATGTAGCAATAATAAAATATAGTTTCACAATAACGTATGATTTAAAATTGTTACATTAGGGTAAGTCAATAAGTTTTGTTTTAAATTAAATTCATGCCACTTATCATGGTACCAACAACTAGAAAAAAATATGATGCAGAATTTAAGTTAAACGTCATAGCATTTTCGAAAGAAAACGGAAATCGTGCAGCAGAAAGAAAATTCAACGTAAGCGAGAAGATTGTGCATGACTGGCATAAAAAAGAAGACGAGTTAAGGTCAACAACAACAACAACCCCCAAGGAAAATCGTAGTGGCAAAACAAGTTGACCAGTTCTCGAGGAGAATCTAAGAAAATGGATTGTGGAACAGCGTGCTGCAGGTCAAGGACTTTCAACAATTAAAATACGACTCAAGGCAAAGTCAAAGTCTATTGTAATACTAACTTTTATATAACTCTTAAACAATTGTATAATATTTCTTACACAAAGTTGGAAATTACCAAGTCGCATGAAATGGCCGGGCGGTATCAAAGATGTGATTATGGTAAGTGCGGAGGAGCGACTTATAAGCAGGAGTGACTTATAGGGCAGAAAATACGGTATTGTCTGTAAAGATAGACTCCCTATTGTGAAATTTGCATTTTTTTTCAAAATGTGAAGTGATATTTCTCAAACGTGTCACAAACCGCAAGTGTTATCGTGTTCTAATTTATGTCATTTTAAATTTTTAGACCCATTAAATTCATGTTGCTAATGGTTAAACCTTGTGAATTTTTTTCTTTCATTTTACTTCAATAAAAATCTACACATCGTTTGATCGACATTGTTTTTTTGAAATGTGTCGATCTTTTGTATTTAAAAAAAAATCCGTCTACTTTGGATCAAACAATAAAATTAGAATGTATACCATTTACCACAAAAAAGTGACGTAATACACAACGTGTGAAGTAAATGTGCTAAGCAAACGGAAACCAGGAGGAATAATGTTTAGATGATTTCCTCAATAGACTATAAGTTATCCTGAAATTAATGTTACTCTGTGCGGAAAAACTAAACAAAGTACACCAATATGAAAAGAGATTTATCCACTGTTAATCTTAATGCGATTATTAATTGAGTATTCAACATGCCAAGCCACACACACCCTTTTCCCTATGCGTCGATCCCATTGTTATATTTGTTGTTTGTTCTAGGTCTCTCGATAACTCACGCCCTCGCTTATATTGCGGTCGATGTTTTTTATCGAGGGAGTGGTGTATTTGGGAGACGAGTTTAACAGACATAATAACATTTGTTATTCACAGATATGAAAGCCTTTGGTATTCAGAATACATATATGAAAGGGTGCATATCTGAATCATAACCAGGTCTGTGCGCTGGGATCGGGCTGCGAGGGGCACAGATAAAGAGCATCATTAATAACTAAAAACTATTTTTGATCATCATTACTAATGTTTAATCTTCAGGTGTACATGTATGATTTTGGGGAAGGTCATGTTACTTCTAACCGAGATACAAAATTTGTAATATTTTATCAGATCCTCAGTATTGGAAGATGAAAATTAAAGTGGTGTTTTTGCTCATATTGTTTTTAATTAGGGTCTTGGCTAAATATATTTTGTTTTTAGTCTGACTGTGCAGATATAACACCACACATTATAGTTATAAAGCATATAGTATGGTGGTCTGATATAAGATCTGTCTTACACACCTATGGACTGTCACTATCATTCATTTATAAGGTTTTGATGAGTCACTGTCATTCATTTATAAGGTTTTGATGAGTCATTGTCATTCATTTATAAGGTTTTGATGAGTCACTATCATTCATTTATAAGGTTTTGATGAGTCACTGTCATTCATTTATAAGGTTTTAATGAGTCACTGTCATTCATTTATAAGGTTTTGATGAATCATTGTCATTCATTTATAAGGTTTTGATGAGTCCCTATCATTCATTTATAAGGTTTTGATGAGTCCAGGAGATGAGCTTTCACATCTCATTTGTCTTTTATATGGTTGTTCTGAAGTGTTCATGCAATTGATAAAACATAATTGTGATAAATTTGCATTGGTTAATGAAAGGCATGTTAGATTGCATATCTGACATTTCTCATCAGCAGATGGTCCTCATTTTAGGTCTTTGGCCAGCCATATCCTGCAGACACAGCCATTCTGTAATCTTTTATACACTTTTTATACTACATCTTTTGCTTGTATTTTTAGCATGCCTATACATGTACCTCCTGTTTATGTTTATTTAGAAAGTTTTATCTTGAGTATGCAGTAGAGCAGGTTATAAATCCACCTGTTCTTATAAACAGAATTTCATGTAATTTACCTGGAAGAGTGCACCAATATATTGCTTTTAGACAGACAACAGAATTGGAGTGTGCACATTGTGATGCTTGCC